GGATCCGAGGTGGTAAGGAGATCTAACGTCCTGTGGGTAGTTGTCGGTTAATGTACCGGTGTAGGGATCCGAGGTGGTAAGGCGATCTAACGTCCTGTGGGTAGTGGTCGGTCAATGTATCGGTGGAGTGAGCCGAGGTGGTAAGGAGATCCAACGTCCTGTGGGGAGTGGTCGGTCAATGTACCGGTGTAGGGATCCGAGGGGGTAAGGAGATCCAACGTCCTGTGGGTAGTGGTCGGTCAATGTATCGGTGGAGTGAGCCGAGGTGGTAAGGAGATCCAACGTCCTGTGGGTAGTGGGCGGTCAATGTATCGGTGTAGGGATCCGAGGTGGTAAGGAGATCTAACGTCCTGTGGGTAGTGGTCAGTCAATGTACCGGTGTAGGGATCCGAGGTAGTAAGGAGATCTAACGTCCTGTGGGTAGTGGTCAGTCAATGTACCTATGTAGGGATCCGAGGTGGTAAGGAGATCTAACGTCCTGTGGGTAGTGGTCGGTCAATGTACCGGTGTAGGGATCCGAGGTGGTAAGGTGATCAAACGTCCTGTGGGTAGTAGTCGGTCAATGTACCGGTGTAGGGATCCGAGCTGGTAAGGAGATCCAACGTCCTGTGGGTTGTGGGCGGTCAATGTATCGGTGAAGGAATCCGAGGTGGTAAGGAGATCCAACGTCCTGTGGGTTGTGGTCGGTCAATGTATCGGTGTAGGGATCTGAGGTGGTAAGGAGACTAACGTCCTGTGGGTAGTGGTCGCTCAATGTACCGGTGTAGGGATCCCAGGTGGTAAGGAGCTCCAATGTCCTGTGGGTAGTGGTCGGTCAGTGTACCGGTGTAGGGCTCGGAGGTGGCAGGGAGATTCAATGTCCTGTGGGTAGTGGTCGGTCAGTGTACCGGTGTAGGGCTCGGAGGTGGCAGGGAGATTCAATGTCCTGTGGGTAGTGGTCGGTCAGTGTACCGGTGTAGGGCTCGGAGGTGGCAGGGAGATTCAATGTCCTGTGGGTAGTGGTCGGTCAGTGTACCGGTGTAGGGATCCGAGCTGGTAAGGAGATCCAACGTCCTGTGGGGAGCGGGCGGTCAATGTACCGGTGTAGGGATCGGAGGTGGTAAGGAGATCAAACGTCCTGTGGGTAATGGTTGGTCAATGTACCGGTGTAGGGATCCCAGGTGGTAAGGAGCTCCAATGTCCTGTGGGTAGTGGTCGGTCAATGAATCGGTGTAGGGATCCAAGGTTGTAAGGAGATCTAACGTCCTGTGGTTAGTGGTCAGTCAATGTACCTATGTAGGGAGCCGAGGTGGTAAGGAGATCTAACGTTCTGTGGGTAGTGGTCGGTCAATGAATCGGTGTAGGGATCCAAGGTTGTAAGGAGATCTAACGTCCTGTGGGTAGTGGGCGGTCAATGTATCGGTGAAGGAATCCGAGGTGGTAAGGAGATCCAATGTCCTGTGGGTCGTGGTCGGTCAATGTATCGGTGTAGGGATCCAAGGGGGTAAGGAGATCTAACGTCCTGTGGGGAGTGGTCGGTCAATGTACCGGAGTAGGGCTACGAGGGGGTAAGGAGATCTAACGTCCTGTGGAGATCTAACGTCCTGTGGGTAGTTGTCGGTTAATGTACCGGTGTAGGGATCCCAGGTGGTAAGCAGATCCAATGTCCTGTGGGTAGTGGTCGGTCAATGTGTCGGTGTAGGGATCTGAGGTGGTAAGGAGACTAACGTCCTGTGGGTAGTGGGCGGTCAATGTATCGGTGAAGGAATCCGAGGTGGTAAGGAGATCAAACGTCCTGTGGGGAGTGGTCGGTCAATGTATCGGTGTAGGGATTCAAGGTGGTAAGGAGATCTAACGTTCTGTGGGTAGTGGTCGGTCAATATACCGGTGTAGGGATCCGAGGAAGTAAGGAGATCCAACGTCCTGTGGGAAGTGGTCGGTCAATGTATTGGTGTAGGGATCCGAGGTGTGGGTAGTGCTCGGTCAATGTACCGGTGTAGGGATCCCAGGTGGTAAGGAGCTCCAATGTCCTGTGGGTAGTGGTCGGTCAATGTATCGGTCTAGGGATCCCAGGTAGTAAGGAGATCTAACGTGCTGTGGGTAGTGGTCGGTCAATATACCGGTGTAGGGATCCGAGGAAGTAAGGAGATCCAACGTCCTGTGGGTAGTGGACGGTCAATGTATCGGTGTAGGGATCCCAGGTGGTAAGGAGCTCCAATGTCCTGTGGGTAGTGGTCGGTCAATATACCGGTGTAGGGATCCGAGGAAGTAAGGAGATCCAACGTCCTGTGGGGAGTGGTCGGTCAATGTATCGGTCTAGGGATCCCAGGTAGTAAGGAGATCTAACGTGCTGTGGGTAGTGGAAGGTGAATGTAACGGTGTAGGGATCCGAGGTGGGGGGGGTGGTCGGTCAATGTACCGGTGTAGGGATCCCAGGTGGTAAGGAGATCCAATGTCCTGTGGGTAGTGGTCGGTCAGTGTACCGGTGTAGGGATCCGAGCTGGTAAGGAGATCCAACGTCCTGTGGGGAGTGGTCGGTCAATGTATCGGTCTAGGGATCCCAGGTAGTAAGGAGATCTAACGTGCTGTGGGTAGTGGTCGGTCAATGTACTGGTGTAGGGATCCGAGGTGGATACCAAAGTATTCAAGTAGAGCTCCACCCAAGGAAGGTAAATACAAATAGGTAAGTGATGGAGCGTCAACACCGAGGATTCCGTAAAGGTAGGATTTATTTGGTTCACATGTTGGATGGCTAGGCAAACCATCATCAGAACAATTTTACAGTATCATTTACAGAGCTAAGGTGCAAATTACAGTTTGCCATGTGACGTCATAGTAATTGTTAAGTAATCATGTGAATGGCATATGCATGTTAGATAACAGATCAAAGTCAATTGTTGTTAAACATGATGCTAAAATGGAAATGCTAATAAACACATACAATCCTATGTTGGTATTACTGGTTATTAATTTAGACAGTGTTCATTAATAGTCCATAAATACTGTAAACGGAAACTTGTTTGTCCCATAGGTAAGAAGGTTTTTTATCTTCACATATGGTATCGTTTAATGTGACCATTTTGTCTCCGTATTCAAGATAGTTATGGTTGATAGGTGGTGAATCTGTGTCTTTATCTGAATCACTTAGGTACAGGCCTAGATCTTCTGATAAATCGATTGGTGCAGAAATGGTGACTGTTTGTAGTCCGTTACACCCTGAACAATTCGAAAAGTGTCTGATTTAAGTTGGTCCATAGTGCAAGCCTCCAGTGGTGGTTTCCATATTTTGGGTTTAGTACGTGGCCTCTATTTGAGGGGTGTATACTTCCGAAGAAATTGTGTTATCCAGAACTGCATCTAGGTGAGTTTTCTTAACATGATTTTTTGCTACATCTGAACAGCAATAAGACTTTTTGCAGATGTCACAGTGGTATCTTTTTGGGTTGGACGAGTGTTGAAATTTTGTGTGTCCTTATGGTAGTTTTTGTATTAGCCATGCCGAATGTTGATAAATTGATGACATCAAAATCATTGTTATCAAAACGACTACTTCAAACGTCAACATCCGCCTCCGAAATGAGAAAACTTGGATAGACACACTCAAAACAACAGAACCATCAGGACTCAACATTTGGCATGGCTAATACAAAAACTACCATACCGAAAAAACTACCACCTAGAAAGCCCAACCCCAATATCCACTGTTCACTTTGTTCCACGGCTGTCGCCAGCATTGGATAAATATTATAAGTAAATGACTGTATATTGATACAAACAGATTAAAAATTCAGTGATCATGACTTTAAATCAAGTATTAGTGTGCGCCGTACGGAGCCTTTTCAAAACTGCTTATTATGTCACCAGGCGCAGGGAACAATCCATGTTTGTATGCATAAGCAAAATCATGAGAAATCTCCAGAGCAAAATCAAGCGATTGACAACTAGACCTATATGTTCAACTGGGTCAGAGGTAATGTTTATTGGTACGACAGGATCAGAGGTAATGTTAGTCCGAATTATTCTAACGTTTTATCAACTTTTTTTATATCGGTCTGGCATCGAGTTTGAAGAGCGACCCTGGCGCAGGTCGCTTATTTCCGTTATGTTATAGAGGGCCAGAGTTCTGACGTTAATCTACGCAAGACTGATATAAAAAAAGTCGATAAAACGTAAGAATAATTCGGACTAAGGTAATTGTTTACTATTTGGCGACAGTTACATGTATTTCGAACTACTAGAAAGTCAAAGCGCACAATATAATTGGACCATTTTTCAAAATAGTTTTTCACTTTTTGCAGTAGCCGCTAAAGAGTCGTATGGTTATATTTATAACAATCTAACACAGTTACACGAACAGACACTGTGAAAGAAATGATTCATGATCACCTGTGATGAATGATAATCTTCATACAGTGTGCATCGAGTTAGACGTCGCATTAAGGAAGTGTCATCTATCCTCTTTTACAGTAACAGTCTAATGGAATGCAAAACGATGAAGATGTGATGGATATATAACATAGGGAACATTATATACTGCATACTTGTATGCATCCCTAATAACTAATACACACATAACATACAGGTAATATGATAAGGGGGGAAGGACAGATAAATAAAGTACTTCTCCGATAAATGTATCACAAATTTGGTAATGGCTAAGTGTCGAAACGAATTTTACTATTGTATTATTGATAAACTCTTAGAACGAGCATCCAAAGTTGTTTTTATGATGTAAAATGTAGGTAACAAACCTTTCCTGGTTATCCGGAAATAAGATTATTGCAGCCGCCATGCTAGTTGAATATCCCGGATGTGACAGGTGTGACGTCACATTCCGCCAAGTATATAGAGTGTTTCCCATGGTTATTACGTTAAAGAGTACCAGAAACGATTAAATTAGTTATAAATGAATGATATGTATCCTTTTTATTTTAATTAGAGACATCAAAAACTCTCAATCGCAGTATGTTTTACTTAAATCAAACAACAACTCCTTACGCATGCGTAAAGCATACATCCGTTATAAAGTCAATTAACTTCCGTTCAACTTTGCATTTGCTTTCAAGAAGAGAAAGTGATGCATTTTTTCGTTCTTTTATGAGAAATAATGTTTAAATCCGGGTAAGTGTTACCTAATTATACTTTTTTTCTATGCGTATTAGCAAAACAGAGTGATATTTGAAAGTGTTCGAGAAATAATAGTAAGTATACGGGTAACAGTCACCCGGAAGGATGCGGCTAATATAAATAGCACTGAACAGATGCAGAATTTGAAGCACTTAAGACGTATACCTGTCATGAAATCGCTTCCCATTGATAGACCTTAGATATATTAATTATAGGACTCTTAAAGAATTTAAACATGTTGAGCACTAGCCTGAAAAATAAAATAATACATAAATCACTGATTTGTCATCTGTACAATATTATTCAATTCCACTAGCCCAAATGTCATGGGGTAGTAATTTAATTTTAGATAAAGTTTTCAGTATTTCCGACGCAAATTTAGCGTGGGTTAGTAGAAGTTTGCAAGGTCGGCATGAGGTGTATTACTTATAAGTAAAAAAAAATCAAATAATTCTCACCACAGCTCGTATATATATCATTATTGCCTTTTTGGGAATCCCAGAAGTTTCCGTACCCATGTCATTTCCGTACCGGAGAATAGTATGTTGCAGTATTTTTCTTAACAAAGAAAAAATGTTAAAGAATATTTTTTATAGTGAAACCCCACCTTACTCGAACTCGCATTACTTGAATACCCTAGCTGTTCTTAAAATAGTTTGCTTGGTCCCGACGGTGTTCTTATATATTCTTGGTAAATTTACCTCAGATTACTCAAACTGCCATTTTTCAAATACCCCAAACTCTGATTTAGTCCTGACCGCTCTAAACTTTAGTGTTTAACCTATCCATTTGTCGAACAGGTAGTCACATCTACAAAATGTATGTGTGACACAAACCGCAAGATATCGATATATGCCTCGAGGTACAGACTGCGGTTCACGCTCATTGTGTTTATACAGGTGAGGTACAGACTGCGGTTCACGCTCATTGTGTTTATACAGGTGTCTGCTTGACCTTACACTGTGATTGTTAATTCCATTATTTAATCAACATGTAGATAATGTGGATTCAAAATTTTCTTCATTTCAAAGTGATCAAAGAGTTAATTCCTCTCATTTTTATACTTCATAAAATAAACTTCGCTGAATATAGTATGTGGACTAATAGGACTATATATGTCTACCTATAAGGACAAGTACATTAAATACATGTTAAAAACTTCTTTATTTTACTCCTTTCTGAATACTGATGGTTATATGTTTTCATTGTTTAGCAATAAAATATCTTATGAAATATCTTTCTTAAACTTCTTTTTACTTTTGTCATCTACTATCTGCGAAATTTATAGTGCTGGTTATGTCTGGCGTTCCACCTGATCAAATCATGAAATCAAATCAATGTTGGGTGAGGTGAATCTCAGATTCCTCCAGTACCATATATCCTCCAGCTATTGATCTGGTCCCCACTTCCACAATACTTTGTAGTCATAAATGTGATTATTTTAAAAGTAGTATTCAATATTTACAGCTATATGCCTTGACTGACCTTGAAAATGTTTACTTTCAGTCAAAGATTAAAATAAAAGACCAAGAGGATGTCTCAGGACGACTCTGCCAAGTTAAATGGGAAGAAAGCCACCAAGAAAACCCCAAATGACTTCATATTTGGGAAAGTCATCGGGGAAGGATCTTTTTCAACAGTAACAAAACTCTCTTTTTCACAAAAAAGTTTTCCTGTATCTTGCAATAATGATATTGATATATATGGTTCACTCTTACATTGGCTGTTGATATCTTCTTATTTACAAGCTTTACTTTCAAGGTTAGAAGGAGTTGTCTAGCTCAATTCCAGTGAATTAATTAGCAGTGCATCATTAGACTAGTAGTCTCACTATCTATCTATATATAGAGCAAATGAAAGAAGAAATGATCAGCAACAACACCACTGAATCTGGTACAAAATGTTTGATTTAATCCTACGTATCTATATATAGGTAATACACTGCGTCATGAGCATACAGTACAAAATAAGTAATTGATTTGAAATTGTTGATAAAGAAAAATTATTGCATTTGAGATTGTAACAATGTGTATTTTTTAGGTCTATTTGGCAAAAGAAATAGAATCTGGCAATGAATTTGCAGGTAAGTATCAGCTTATCAAAAAGTTATATATATACCTTAAGACCTGAATGATATGTATCGTGGTATTGAATTAAGATGATATGTTGACTTGACACAAAAGCCTTTTTTTGTACATAACAAATACAATGTACCATAATATATAAATGTACATGTATTCATTTACTACAACTCAATGTACTACATATAACAGATGTTATACATGGCATCATGGGCAATGAAAAGGCCAAATAAAATAATATGTGTGTTTCCTATTCCCTCAAAATTTGAATCCAGGTAGGTAGGTAGGCAAAACATTTTATTTTATCAAAACATTTTATTTCTTTTTCAAATGTTATACAACCGATTCAATGTCAATTGATCATGTACCCAGTGTGTTTATTTTCAGCATTTCAGAGGATGTATTCTTATTCGAAAGTACAAACATGCATAAGTATATAAAGCACCATTACTTTTAATATTATCATTTATTTGCAGCATTTTAAAGAATGTTTCCAAATTCAAAATCAAAACATGATAATTATACCATTGCCAAACACATATATATATATATTATTTCACATGGTGCTTTATATAGTTAGAAAGGTTTTACTGTTGCTTTTTCTGAGGATTCCGCAATTAAATCAAGGACAGAAACATTCTGTTTTGAGCATGAAAAAAGCAGTACTCGCATACCAAAACCCTTGGCGAAATCGCCGACGTTTAAATTTCCATCAACATCAAACCATTCAATGTTTACGGAACACTTTATGGCAGTTGTATAACCTTTTAGGTCTGTTGGGTGGTATGTCCCATAAACATCCAAAAGTGGGGCCTTGTTTGGAAACGACGCAAGGTGCTTCGTATCCGCAATTTGATGGCCAAAATGGAACTTTCTATTCCGATGGCCGCCATGTTGCCGTCAAGGTACATTGTGTAGAATCACGAAGACGATTGACACGCACAATACATGTGTGTCAAGGGCTTTATTGACGGAGTACCAAGTCAAAACTAATAACAAATCGGACACATTCCGGAAAAATTTAAGTCGCATGAAAAATCGGCGAAAAAAACCGTTTCAGGTCGGGCAAAAAATTTTCCAGGTAGGTCGGGGAACCGGAAACACACATATTATTTTATTTGGCCTAATGTACTGATGTGAATGCCATATCTGGTAGGGTTTTATTATGACAATGCAATAGAGTGGTAAATATTGGGAATATAACAGGAGATATCTTGTAGATATAGGTCACCTGTGTATAATGAAGATACCCGGTATAACAGGAAATGATGAATATAAAGACCAGCTGTCTATAATGAACATAACGGGGAACGATTATATATATGTAATATCCAATTATATCTCCCCAAACAAAGTTGGGTTTGTTGGTTATACTGGAATCAGGTTGTCTGTCTGTCCCTTAAATGTAGACACAACATTGTTAGTATATAACTCGTCAAGGGGATGTGAATTAAGTATATAAGTTGGAGTCGCCTCTCCTATTTATGAGTTATGTCCCTTTGTTTAAAGAACTGTTCCTACAATTCTTTGGCCGTGACACGTGATGTAAGTCTGCCATTCTGGCAGCAGTTCTACTTTCTGTAATGTTATATAATTAATAATGAAAATGACAGTCTGTTTGTAAATTGTAGACTTCAATTTCATATTTGGACATTTGTATGTACGTACATATATGTACACTTGTGAATAATGACCCAGTGGAGACTTTATCAAACAAGAACATAAAAAAATGACATAACATTTAAGCTACCTATAACATCCAAAACTTATCATCAGAGGGAACTACAATGAGTGATTTTTTGCATTATACTATTAAATAAACAAATATCTCAAATGTGGTCAAAAGTTGTTTTATTTTGATCTTAAATCCTTCAAATTGTATAATAATGTAAATGTTATTATCATTACAGTCAAGGTGCTGGACAAACGACATATTATGCGTGAGAAAAAGACCCAATATGTGATGAGAGAAAAGGAAGTACTGATGAAACTGAATCATGCATTCTTTATACGGCTATTTTACACCTTCCAGGACCATGACAGACTCTGTATCCTTGTCGACTGTACATGTGTACATTGTTGTATTGAATCAGTGATAATTTAATTCTGTTTGCAAATATAGTTGTCTAAGATCTCTGAAAGTGTATGGCTATCCTGTTTATAGATATTATTGTATTCTAGGACTATACAGTGTACAGATAATTACCCACCCTAGGGTTATCCTTATAAAGATTAATAGAATCAATCAATATAGGCATATGGGATATGGATATTCTACCCTTGGGTGCAGAATTTGGTGTCAGAACATTGACAAAGCTACGGTTCTAACCCAGCTTCTACACTCTAGGGTAGAGTATATCCAATGTATATCTACATAATGATGGACTCTTTTTGTCTCGCCTCTTAACCGAAAGTTTGGTAAAACAGGACATAGAAAATGCAAATGAAATTATCAAATTTATAGATAACACATAAAAAACTAAGGCCATATTTGGAAATAGAAAAATATATGGTAAACCTCAAATTTAAAAATAGATGCAAGACCTCCAGGGTAAGCTTGTACAACATTTTTGATGATCTTCAAGTGGTGGCACCTAAGCTGACCACATTCAAACAACATTTTGATGCATTTTCAGTTGTGATGTCATAATAGTACAGGTCACTGAGTGCACCCATATGGGATGTTTTTCATATGCAGAGGTTGGAGAAACAAGTGTATCCACGGGCTGTATACTGTATATAGACATTAGTGTATCCACGGGCTGTATACTGTATATAGACATTAGTGTATCCACAGGCTGTATACTGTTTATAGACATTAGTGTATCCACGGGCTGTATACTGTATATAGACATTAGTTTATCCACGGGCTGTATACTGTATATAGACATTAGTGTATCCACGGGCTGTATACTGTATATAGACATTAGTGTATCCACAGGCTGCATACTGTATATAGACATTAGTGTATCCACGGGCTGTATACTGTATATAGACATCAGTGTATCCACAGGCTGTATACTGTATATAGACATTAGTGTATCCACCGGCTGTATATTGTATATAGACATTAGTGTATCCATGGGCTGTATACTGTATTATTTTATGGGAGCTTTAAGGCTTGTTTACTATTTTAGTATTGTTTACTTAAATAAATTCTAAATGTCTGTAAGCTAACCCATTGTTAAATGTAACCATCCATTATAGTACTACTTTATAGATGAAGGAAGCATAAAGTGCCAATATTAAACCAGCTCTTTCAGTAGATCAGGATTTCAACACACCAACGTGATAAAGGTATTAATTAAGTGGTTGATTGACACATTTGTTTATCGAATACCTTTACGTTTTTGACAATTGTTGAAAAAAAGTGGCCATGTAAGAAACATGTTATAGAGAGAAACTGAAGACTGAATCACCTTTTAAGCTTCCTTATCTGTAGAGACTTTGTGCTCAGCTATGCTAGACAGGGAGAACTGTTGGACTACCTCAATAGATTGTCATGTTTTGATGAAAACTCTACTAAGTGGTATGCAGCGGAACTTGTTTTGGCTCTGGAACATATGCATAACCTGGGCGTGATTCACAGGTAATTTTCATAGCGCAACAAATGTCATCTTGTGGCTGGAATATATATAATATCTTTGTGACACGTTATCTTACTCCAATTTACGGGCTATGTATAGCATAAAACCCGGAAATACATTTAGCATGTGTTGCGAGTCTGCAACCAAAACAATTCCTACCTATAAACCCATACATGCCATATCTCACGATTTAGGCGTGAGACTCACGAAAAACAGCCTTCCAAAATGTCTCACGGCGTGATAACCCATTTTCACGCTTTTTGTTGCAAATAGTTTGAACTCACGAAAAGAAACAAATTTGGTCAATCTTAGTGAATAAACAATAGCTACATGGATTCACACTGACCTTGGTCACCGCGAGGTCTGAAGTCACACGCCAGCAACTTAAATCACAGGCCAGGCCAATTAGCAGCATAGGTGTGAAAGTTCTGAATGGCCCTGCCAGCCGATTTATCGGGGCATGGCTTGATGACTTGCTCACCGATGTGTGAACTGTTAAGCAATTAAGTCAGTGATCCCACAACCAGTGGGGGCTAGTTGCTAATTAATATGTGATGACAGTTGATATTAACATTAAACAGCAACATGAGGAGATGTCAGAGCTGTTTTAAAATACAATACCGAAATGGAAATGTTGGAGGTGACTATAAAATCGAAACCCGATACTGACATTGAATCCGGAATTTATTCTCTTGCCGTTGGGATGGGATTGAGTGTTAATGAAAATAACATAAACGAAAGAAAACAAGTTTCTTCAGAATTGGATAAATAAAAATAGGTTTTATTGGTTATTTTTTCCCAAGCAAAATAGAATTAAATATTCCCAATGTTTTGATATATATATTTTCTAACCTGGGATAATAAGGACATCCCAGTGGAAATTCTTCTTTTTAGCCCACCATCATCTGATGGTGGGCTATTCAAATCACCCTGCGTCCGTGGTCCGTCGTCCGTCCGTCGTCCGTCATCCCTCCATCGTCCATCCGTAAACAATTCTTGTTATCAGTATTTCTCAAGAAGTACCAGAGGGATCTTTCTCAAATTTTGAGACTGATCGGATAAACAACATGGCCGATAGGCAGCCAGCCATCTTGGATTTTGATAGTGAAAGTTTGTTATCGCTATTTCTCAAGAAGTGCCAGAGGGATCTTTCTCAAATTTTATATGTAAGTTCCCCTTGGTCCTTAGCTGTGCAGGGCAACTTTTGAGACTGATCGGATAAACAACATGGCCGACAGGCAGCCATCTTGGATTTTGATATTGAAAGTTTGTTATCGCTATTTCTCAGGAAGTACGGGAGGGATCTTTCTCAAATTTTAAATGTAGGTTCCCCTTGATCCCTCGTTGTGTATGTTATATTTTGAGACTGATCATAAAAACAAAATGGATTAAAAGAAGAACTAAACAGATCTTTCTCATATTGCAATGATCGATTCTATTTCTTTCACATTAAGTACTGTACTATATGTAAATATGTGAAATGACTAACTCACTTTGAATGTTGGCTTTCATACACATCAGTATTAAGTTTAGATCAAAAGTTACCTCAAGGTGCAATTACTGTTAACATGACTCAATCAAACAGATTAGAGGAAAGAAGAGAAAAGATCGAACTGACAAAGAACTAATGAAGATGGTACAAAAGTGGGCGCCAAGATCCCTCTGGGATCTCTTGTTTTAATTACTATTATTTTTTGCCTTTTATGTGATTTATTTACTTTTAAATATTGATAGCTTTATCTGGACCGTATGTCACGTGTTAACCTTCCTAAAATCCTTTAAAATATCAAAAAATCTTCAATTTTGGCTTTAGCAAAGTAATTAGAGGCTTCAGAATAGCACAAATGATTCAATAATATGATATATGCTATATAATTTATGTTTTTAAATGTCTCACGAATTTCTCACGAATTCAGAGAAAAAATATCTCAATATTTTTGACCAAATCTCACTAAAAATAATCACTGATCTCACTATTTTGCTCCTGAAAGGTATGGCATGTATGTAAACCCTATTGTTTCATGGTGTTGCAGGGGGTTAAATCCCCTTATATTTTGTTTGACATTTAATTAATAGGTTCTTATTATGGAGAACTGCCTAGTAAGGAAAACTATATTCATGTGTTTATTAGGGCCCCGTATCGGAGATACGGGTGCCCTATAGTAATCACTCTGTCTGTCTGTCTGTCCATCAACAAATTTTGTTTCTGGCGGATAACTTTAGTATTTATGGACCAATGTACATGAAACTTGGTCAAGATGTTCAGTTCACAAAAATACACATTGAGGTAAAAAGTCGAGGTCAAAGGTCAAGGTCATTAGGTTCAAAGGTCAAGGTCAAATTTTACATCTTTTCACTGATGAACATTTTGTTATGACATTATGAAGCAAAGTTAATCGGAATTAAACAAGGAGTCAACTGACCAAAGGTCAAGGTCATTAGGTTCAAAGGTCAAGGTCAAATTTTACATCTTTTCACTGATGAACATTTCGCTATGACATTATGGAGCAAAGTTGTACGGAATTAAACAAAGAGACACACTGAGGTAAAAAGTCAATGTCAAAGGTCAAGGTCAATATATTGAAAGGTCAAGGTCAAGTTTTGTATTTTTCACTGATGAACATTTTGTTATGATATTATGAAGCAAAGTTGGTCGGAATTATAGAATAAGTAAACTGACCAAAGATCAGGGTCGCTGGGTTAATGGTCAAGGTCATTTGGGTCCAAAGGTCAAAGACAAAGTGGATCTCTGACTTTGATCCTGGCTCTTGATGTAGGAGGTATATATAAGGTTAAATAAAACAAATCAAAGGTAACAAATGTGTATTGCACCGGTATTTAAATTTCTGTTAGTCCAGCAAATATGAAGGTGGAAGGAAACAAGACTCACATCATAGTACATGTAAAATGTATATTTTGCTTCCTTGCGATTCTTTTTGAAGTCCAAATAGCAAAAGTCAAGCTCAGCTATATGGACAGATTACTTCTTGATGATTATGGGGGATATATTGCCACAAGACGGGGCCCTTACTGACCTGTCAAGTGTTCTAGTTGTAGTCTCACATCACCATTGCCAGATAGGGGAGTGTCAGGTTTTTAATTGTATATGTACATTCAAATATCTGTGTCCCATTTTCTGGTACTAAGTGACAGATGAATGCTTCTATACCATAGACATATTTTGATGTAAGTTCCCCAAGCTGTGGGCCCACCCTTTTTTTCAGGAATACCTACATCGAAAAAACAAAAAAAACCTAAATAATAAAACAAGCAGTAACGATAAATCATCTGTTCAAAAAAGACTTTATCTAATATTATTTTAGCCCTCCCCCCTTAAAAAAGCTCTTGGTTTCAAGAGGGAGTAGTAGGCAATAAAGATATATAGGTCTAAGCAAATAAACACATTATTCTCTCTATTGTTACAGAGATTTGAAGCCAGAAAACATCTTGCTTAATGATGGGATGCATATACAGATAACAGACTTTGGAAGTTCCAAGATATTAGATAAGCAGGAATCATCAAACAGTGGACAAGGTAAATAAATTTGATTCTTTTATGTGTAGCTACAATTAAAAACATGTGTAACATGTACCTCTTATACACTGTAGTGCTTATGTTTATGTGTACTTTATATAGTTTTATTGGAAATGTATAACTTCATTTCCTTGTTACCAGATAAACTCAAAGAATAGGTATGTCCTAGAGGGACAGCTCAACCTTAATATTACTTAGATTAAGATGAATTTTTGACAGCTTAAATATTTAAGTGAGTGATTCAGACTCTCTGGGGTCTCTTGGTTTAAAGTCACTTGAGTCAAATGCTAAGAGACTTTAAAAGTAAATTGATTTATGGCTCAAGTTCTTCCTGCATTAAATTTGTCCATAAAATTTCAGTACATTATAGTTACCTGTTTAGTATCAATTATGATCCATGTTTTTATGTTTGATCTTATAAGAACCTTCCCAAGAGTCTGGAAACCAGCCGAAGAGGAAGAATTCTTTTGTGGGAACAGCACAGTATGTGTCACCTGAAATCCTGACCAGTAAAACAGCCTGTAGCAGGTAAGGACAGATGTGTGGAGCAGCTGTGCTGACAGAAGCAACAGAATTCTGTACATGACTTTTTATTACTGTTCTGCTTCAGCCAATGTTGGCAGTCATGTACTCAATTAGAAATAGACTTGCTCTGATTGGTTGTTGTAGGAAAAACTTAAAAGTAACAACCAAGGTACTGTAAAAGCATGTATTTTCGTTTGGTTAAAATTTCGTAGTTGTTTTTTTTGGACAAATTCGTTGGAATTATATTTCGTGGAATCAATATTTTCAAACCAAGTATATTTTTTTTTCTGTTTGATACCTGGACTATAAGACAATAGGTCCTGCTAACCGTACATCACCCGGGGTGATCACCTGTCCACGCCAGGTGAAATTTTCACACCTCGGTCACCCCAGTCAGTGGAAAACAATAGATCGACTCGCTCAATAGTCAAATAATTCAGTCTAAACAAACATGTGTGGTAGTTAATAGCGATATATACAATGGAAATAAATAGGCCTACCAACATTTTACAGCACAAATTCTGATAAGAAAATCAGGGCCGATTTCAATGTAAATATTGCTCCAGAAGGAAGACGTGTGTTTAAATAATTTAAGCAATAGTTTGTCTATTGCATTAGAAGTTTATTTCCCCGTGTCTCCATTGAAAAAGTTTCAAAATCGGGGCATGCCGTCCTGACAGCATGCTGCGGGATATCGATCCAAAGTTAACGTTATTGTCGTAACTGACGACGACTGCTTTATTTACACTTTACACCCTTTTGTTGAATAGAATATTTGATTATTTTTAAAAAGGGAATATTTTGTTTGTTTTTTGTTTTTTGTTTTTTGTTTCTATATAAGGTGATTTCGTCGCACTGCTTGCGAGGTACAGGTAAGATCGGGCGAGATAAACTCACTCGTTGGGTATCGGTCAAATCCGTCATGCACTATAGTTTACATACAAAGAGCGATGTAACTGTGTTACAAATATAACGCTTGATTGACGCGCTCTTGGTATAAGTGTTTACCTCCGTGATTGTGACGATAATTACACCGTTTATCATGACTTGTGTCTAAATGTAAATACAGCATGGTTTGTAATTAAAGTACCATTTATAGTTTATTTCATATTTTCGTTTAGTTTATATTTTGTATGCTTAAAATTTTGTTGGGATTATATTTCATGGTTTTCTTAAAACCATGAAATAAACGAAATAAAATCCTCAACGAAATATTGTGCTTTTACAGTATTGTCTAACCATTACACACTGTATTAAAGAGGTGATACCAGTTTTCTTGAGTCAGATCAATTAACAAAATATAGTCATATTGGTCAAGTAGTTTTGGTAAAAATGGATCTTGGATAATTGTGATTGCATTGGAAAATAACAGTTCAATAAAAGTGTATTGCAGAGATGTCTTTTCCTCATTACAATTATATGATGGGCAAAAAGAATGTATTCTGCAATATAAAGTCAAAAGAAGTTGCTGTTTGCCCGGTTCCTGCAGGCCAAGTCACTGTTTTTCTTGCAGAAGTTTTCAAAAATATTGATAATTTGTTTGCATTGGAAGCATCATAATTATCATTTCACCTGGTTCAGAGGACAAATAGGAGAGTATGCCTTACTGCAGTGTCAACAATCTATCCATTAACAATTTCTCCAAATGACTTCTTCTGAACTACAGAACAGAATTTCACCAATTTGACTTGAAACTTCTTTAGATTGTGGGAATACAAAATTGAACAAATGGAGAAACTGACTCTAAAAGGGGCCGGAGCCAAAAAAGAGTAATGTGGTCATGTTTAGCTCACCTGGCCAAAAGGGTCAGGTGAGCTGTTGCAATCTGTTGCTGTACGACATCTGTCATCCAATGTCCATCAATAAACTTTTTCTTTGAACGAACTACTTCTCTAAAGAACCACAAGCTTAATTACAACTAATCTATTTAGGAAATATCCCTATGTGGTAATTATGTCAAATGACAAAAGAATGGACTGATTCCTTTGAGGGGGCAAAAAATGAGTAGAATTTGCTGTTGAATGAGTGATATTTATGATTTAGCAACCTTATTATACATTCTTAAAACAAATCGGAAAGGCAAACAAATTTTGTACATAAACGGGGTCTGTAGGTGGAGCTTTGCAATACATAGTGCTATATATGAATGTTTAAACACTCAAATTCTTCTGGAGAATCAAAAGTCCAATACTCATGCTATTTGTTCAGTTACTTGCTTGTATAGAAAGTTACAAAGTTTACAAAAAAATATGATGTTGACCTTTCAAATTGGTTAAAACACTCAAATGGTGTCTGAAAAACAAAGACCTAGTGTCATACTTGATCAGTAGCTTGCTGACAGGGAGCAATACACAGTTGTAAAATGACTGATCAATATTCTAGTTCATGAGGGTCGGATCTGTTAAAACATTATAACAGCTTTCTTTGAAGAATGAAACCCCCTAGAGTCATAGAATATGGCCAGAAGCTTGCTGACAATGAGTACTAGTGCTGCAAAGTTGAGAATTGAAATGGCTTTGAACTACATTCAAGGTTGCAGGAGTCAAATCTCTTAAATTCGGAGGAGTTTTCTTTAAGACTACAGAGTGAAACATTACAGTTTTCATACTAATATTGTCACTGACAGATTATCTGACCCATATGCTGCACCCTCCTCTATAAAACTGCACAGTGAACCAGTTTAACGCTCATTGACACTTAAAGACACATGAAATATGCTGCAGCACCCTGCTTTGTGTCATGACAAAGTTCTGGTGTCGCGCTAATTGACGCTACGTATACCTTCTTACACAAGTTTGAGGGGTTCATATACAATATAGCAGAGTAAACCAGTTGAGTGTCACACTAATTGACCAGGGCTAGACAATGAGGATAGCCTGCTAGTCTGAGACAAGTGAAATCTCCAGCAGGACTAGTGGTTCTTAGAAATACTAGTCTAATTGACCAGTCAAAATCTGATGTTACTCTGATTTGCACATGGACTAGTAAAAATTGGAAAATATTAGCCCAGCTGACTAGAAGCTCTTAAAATTAATTTATAGCCATATAATTGACACTGATGGTTTCTCTAACACACTGTAATATCCTGATATTACTTCATTATTGCATCAATATCACTGTAGATAAGGTATGGTATATGTTTGTGATGACATTGACAACAAACTTATGGATATTAACTTGAAAATAATTTGTAATACTATGTTTGATTGCTTCAATGGTATATTGAAATGTTCTATTTGTCTGTTTCAGTTCTGACCTTTGGGCTCTAGGCTGCATCATCTACCAGTTATTATCTGGGCTAGTTCCATTCCGTGGAGGGTAAGGTGTTCATTAGATTTTACCAATGAAATGTAATTAAACTCAACACATTAGTCAGATGATAAATACACAGTATTCATATTGTAAACAGAACTCAAAACATTAGTTAATAGATATACTCAACGCATTAGTCAAGTGATAGATATAACACGATATTATGTAATAATTATAATACACCTCAACACAGTTGTCATGTAATAAATATAGCATAGCAAATGTATTCCTATAATAAATACTCTGTATTCCTATAATAAATATAACATGCATGTTTGATAAATATAACAATACTATAGTAACATAGCAATTATAATGCTGTAGTAACTTATAACATAATACTGTAGTCATTTATAACATAATACTGTAGTCGTTTATAACATAATACTGTAGTCATTTATAACATAATACTGTAGTCATTTATAACATAATACTGTAGTCATTTATAACATAATACTGTAGTCATTTATAACATAATACTGTAGTCATTTATAACATAATACTGTAGTCATTTATAACATAATACTGTAGTCATTTATAACATAATACTGTAGTCATTTATAACATAATACTGTAGTCATTTATAACATAATACTGTAGTCATTTATAACATAATACTGTAGTCATTTATAACATAATACTGTAGTCATTTATAACATAATACTGTAGTCATTTATAACATAATACTGTAATCATTTATTACATAATACTGTAGTCATTTATAACATAATACTGTAGTCACTTATAACATAATACTGTAGTTATTTATAACATAATACTGTAGTTATTTATAACATAATACTGTAGTTATTTATAACATAATACTGTAGTTATTTATAACATAATACTGTAGTTATTTATAACATAATACTGTAGACATTTATAACATAATAATGTAGTCATTTATAACATAATGCTGTAGTCATTTATAACATAATCCTGTAGTCATTTATAACATAATACCGTAGTCATTTATAACATATTACTGTAGACATTTATAACATAATAATGTAGTCATTTATAACATAATACTGAAGTCATTTATAACATAATACTGTCGTCATTTATATACTGTAGTCATTTATAACAAAATACTGTAGTCACTTATAACATAATACGGTAGTCATTTATAACATAATATTGTAGTCGTTTATAACATAATACTCTAGTCATTTATATACTGTAGTCATTTATAATATAATACTGTAGTCATTTATAGCATAATACTGTAGTCATTTATTACATAATACTGTAGTCATTTACAACATAATACTGTGGTAACTTATAACATAATACTGTATTCGTTTATAACATAATACTGTAGTTATTTATAACATAATACTGTAGTCACTTATAACATAATACTGTAGTAACTTATAGCATAATACTGTAGTCATTTATTACATAATACTGTAGTCATTTACAACATAATACTGTGGTAACTTATAACATAATACTGTAATCGTTTATAACATAATACTCTAGTCATTTATATACTGTTGTCATTTATAACATAATACTGTCGTCATTTATATACTGTAGTCATTTATAACATATTACTGTAGACAGTTATAACATAATACTGTAGTCGTTTATAACATAATACTGTAATCGTTTATAACATAATACTCTAGTCATTTATATACTGTAGTCATTTATAATATAATACTGTAGTCATTTATATACTTTAGTCATTTATAACATAATACTATAGTCATTTATAACATAATACCGTAGTCATTTATAACATAATACTGTAGTCATTTATAACATAATACTGTAGTCATTTATAACATAATTCTGTAGTCATTTATAACTTAATACTGTAGTCATTTATAACATAATACTGTAGTAACTTATAACATAATACTGTAGTCATTTATAACATAATACTGTAGTCGTTTATAACATAATACTGTAATAGTTTATAACATAATACTGTAATCGTTTATAACATAATACTGTAGTCATTTATAACATAATACTGTAGTCATTTATAACATAATACTGTAGTCATTTTATAAATATAAATGATTACTTTGGAATTTTTAATCAAAAATAGGTTGTGTCTGAATTCTGACCTTGGATCCAAAGTATACATTCTAATGATGTCCAATATAACAATAATAAGTGATCTTACTAACATATATATATTTTCCTTCTTCTTTTGTAGACATGAATATCAAATCTTTCAGAAGATTATGAAGCTGGAGTATGAGTTCCCCGATGGTTTTAGTTCTGTAGCAAGAGATTTGGTTGAGAAGTTATTGGTAAGTTGTACAAAACCAAAGAGATTTTAGAAAGATTCCTAAGTAATGGTCATATATGGTTGTTCTATGAACAAATCTTCATCGGAGCAACTGCTTCAGATACATATTGTGTATCAGGTTTCTTGATGCAGTTGGATTTCATCTGTGAACAAGCTATTTGTACTAATATTTTTACTTTTGATTCAAAAGTAAAATATTAGTACAAATAGCTTGTTAGAGTTCGGTTTAATTTTTTTTTGTAGTTTAAGACGTTTGTCATCTTAAAAGATAGGTTCCTATTGGTTGTCTGTACTTTTAACTTCTTGTATATAAGTGATAATGAGAGTGAGACTTAAATAAACTATTTGTGTTGTGTTGTTGAAATAAACTATTTGTGTTATGTTGTTGAAATAAACTATTTGTGTTGTGTTGTTGAAATAAACTATTTGTGTTGTGTTGTTGCAACAACCTCTTTCTGTACAGGTGATAGAACCGTCAGAGCGTCTTGGATGCCCAGAGCAAGGGGGATATGAACGCCTAAAACAACATCCATTTTTTGAAGGCATTGATTGGGATATAGTTCCAGAACAGAAACCCCCAACACTACAGCCATATCTCCCTGCGACATCAGAAAATCCAGAAAATATTTACGGAAACTATAAGGTAATCAGTCACTCAAAGTATTTAATTTCATAAGTAATCATTTCTTCTTGTTAATTTTTGTAGTCCAGGATTTTTATAACTTTTGAAGTTGAAACAAAATTTCTAGTTTTATATAAAATTTAATTTGTTTAAGTAGCACTAGTTTCTATAAAGTAGCCATCATGTATGACATGTAAACTCCAGTGTCCTTTTAGTAATATTGACCACTAATATCTGAAAGTCATGATCTAATTGTGATTTTTGATTTCCTACAGCCTGGTCTTTCTGATAGGAGAGTAGCAGAAATCATTACAGAAACTGTGTAAGTATTCCTTTGTTGTTATTTGCTATATGTAGAAAACAAGAAAGGTGGCAAACCCATGCCAGATCAATTATTTTTTCTTTAACAAAACCTTCTTTTTGCATTTTAAAATTATTGTTTATAATGATAAAGTTCAAAAATATATATTTATCTTTTGCTTGTAGAATAGTAATTGATGCTAGCAATTGTTTTCATGTATTTCATTTATATAGCAGTTTCAGTTAATTGTCTTTTTATTTAAATGATAGATAGAACAATAAGAAATAATTGAAATCAATGCAATACATTTCACAATGTTATATCATCACAAAGTATTATTACATGATATAAAAATAAATATAACGATCAAATTGCTTCCGGAGTGTTATTACAATATGTTTAACCAGCATATTCAAAATATTTAATATTGCATGGCTCAGGAAACAGTTATAGGTAACACTGGGTTGCAGGAAGCATTGGGTTATAGGAGACATTATGGAGTATTGAATATTGGAGATAATTTTATAGTAGACACTAGTCTGTAATACTTCTGTAGTAATTCTGATACAGGAGACACACAATTATACTTGGTTGACTAAGTATTTGTTGGTAGCTTGTTCTATTTGATATATTTCTGTGCACACATGCATATTTGGGCAATTTGTTGATACCTTTTGTCATCTAATCAACATAACTGAGTGAAATTAATTCTTGATCTATTTAAGGATTTCGGATGATGAGAGGAAATCATTGATCGAAGCACAGGCCAAAGAAAATGAATATCACAAATTTGTTGAAGGCAATCTCATTCTCAAACAGGGTCTAGTAGATAAGAGAAAGGTAAGTATACTTGTGGGTTTTGTTATTGGGGGTGAAATAGGTGAATCTCAACCAGAGGGGAACGATTCTCATGTTGCCAAGCAAGAGGCAAGCCTCATGTTTTGCAACTTATAAGCAACTTTCCTGAAGGGTTGAGATTTTCCATCTTACCCCAGAGGGGAATTATTCTATCTCTCCTACCCTGTTGACCCTATCATATACGTGGTGAATCGTTGATGTAACAGGCTCAATGCATTGTTCACATGATCTTAATGCATTGTTGATGCGATATCATTGTATTGACATCATACATTTGTTTTAGAGAGGAATCCCTACGTCACCAAGTTATTCACTCAAGCTTGATGCTAGGCAAAGTTCACAAATATATAATGTGGCTACTGCAATCTTATTGGCTGTTGGTTTGCAGATGAAAGCTTTCGAAGGAATTACTGAATTGTGATGAAAGTTGTCTAGTAGATACTTTTTACTCAAGTCCTCATAAAGTTCAAAAATACTTAACGAGGCTGCTATGATCTTATCATGAGTACTAAAGAAAACAGACTGAATTATAGTTTTAACCAACAATCGGCTATCCTTCCACCTACAGTAAGCTGGTACAGGTGACACATCTACTGCCTTAATGATCTTGTACATGCTTGAGCATTTTCAATTTGATCTTGTCTGTCATATACAAATACACAATTAATGCAATATTTATTGTTTACTGAAGAATTTATATGTTCATTTCAGGGTTTGTTTGCAAGAAGGCGGATGTTTCTGTTAACAGAAGGGCCTCACCTATACTATGTTGATCCGACAAATAAAGTGTTAAAAGGACAGATACCATGGTAATTGGCTTATATTATGATACCACTGAGACGTAGATGAGCTTAAAATTAAGAAGATGTTTCAAGCAATTAAGGATAAGGTGTTGTAACTAGAAGTCCAGTTATCAATGAGTATAACTAACAACATTTCATCAGCTCACTGAATTAGGAGTACAACTTAAAACATTCCCTAAAAATCATACCCTATATCATCACATGTGAAGATATACGTTTTATAAGTCTTAACTTAATTGATAATTTCTGGTAATGCACTGTTAAAAATGTAGATAATTAATTATAGTCTGGTATGATTGATAATTATTTTTATTGCAGGTCAAAAGAATTGAAACCTGAGGCTAAGAATTTTAAAACCTTTTTTGTCCACACTGTGAGTATACTGTTAGGTTTTCTACAGTGGATATTGAGGTAAAATATTGAAATACAAAACTATTGCACTGTACGGTTACTTGCGATAAGCTTATCTCTAAGGTAACATTTTACAGATGCGAGTATTATAAGGAAGTAAGACTTTATTTCTCAGAATACTAGACTTCCTGGACTTACTACAGAGAAGCATGACAGTATTTTATACCTTCTTTAACAAAAATATATTGTTAAAGGTTGTGATTTTTTGCTCTTAAACTTCATAATATGCTTGTAGAAGTTAATAAGATTTTCATTTCTGATTCTTTCAATAGCCTAACAGGACGTACTATCTGGAAGACAAAAGTTCAAGGTCGCAGGACTGGGTGAACAAGATAGACGAAGTATGGCAGACATACTATGGTACAAAATCCTAGTGTCTCAATAGGGACCATTTTCAAATAGTGTCAAAAAATCATGGAATGGGGAGATTCTAAATAGTTGTCAAAACACCAAACTATGTTAATGTTAGTTTATTAGCGTAACGTTTTGTAGGCCAATGCTTGTATTTAGCCTTAATACATCAGCAGCAGCATGTTTTACATACTTTTTTTAACCAATAAGAGAATTTCCACATTGTTATCTTAAAAACAAATGTTTGTGGAATAAGAAATGGCATTTATTGTTTTGTTTTCATGGAGGTTAGTAGCAATAATGATTTTAAAACCATGGAAACTCAATAGTGACAAAGACCTGCCTGTTACCTTGGAGATGGGGGAATTTGGCTGTGGTACACAGTAATGACACTACAGTGAAGCTAGCTTACTGACCGCTTACCTTACAATGTAGACAGTAGTCACTTGTCAGCAATTCCTGTATACTGCATTTGTATTCCTTAATACAACATAAATCTACATTGTGAATAGTTTTAACCACCAATACTCCTAGGTATAACACTCAGGTTTTGTATAACAATTTGAGACTTGTGCAAAATTCCTATTTAACTGATCTGCAGGTTGGCAAATATCTCCTTCTAAAATTCATAATTGTTTCACCGGTATATGGTGTAAGGTCGTGTGTGAGGAGACCATGTTATTAGCTGGTAGTGTGAGATTAGGGGCTAATGCATAGACACTTGGTCATTGACTGATCATATTTGCGTTTTGTTTTGCATAGTTAAATTTTTATCTGTTGATAGATAACAATTTAAGAAATATAGTACATATCAGCTATGCTTACTGTATTTTATATGATATTGCCGGTGTTTTCATATATTACATAATATTGGTGATCCTCTTTGAACACAACTGCATGGGGTCTTCATTTAGGAATTTGATCCACATGTTATTATTGACTCAAACAAGAAATTGTTTTTTTGTAACGTACTAGAGATGAGACCTAGCCTAGATTTCTTACCCCCTCCTTCCTGGAGTAGGGAGCGACATTTTCCACTAGGGAGTGCCATGACCCTGAGTTAACTCTTTGAACTGTGATAAATGTATTGGGCTCCATAATCAGATAGATTGATCAGGACTGCTGTAAGTTTGATTGTATGAGAACATTTTTGTGAGAGTTTGTTTGGCATAAAAGGGTTATTTATTGTGTGAGTGTTGTTGCACTGATGTACCCATATACCCAGTATTGATTGTGTTTATAAACCTGTTGAGTGAGTCTACAGAGGCCTGCTGTTTATAACATGGGGGCGTGCCAGATGAACAGTGGAATAGATATATATATATTATGCATACTGTAGTACTAGCTGTCATTCTTAATATTTGCATTAACATAGCATTGCCACTATAAAACCAACCGAAATGTAATGGCAAACATAAAGCTATATATGCATATTGCCCAAATGTTAATGTCATTAGGATATACAATGGTAACATTAAATACTACTGAAGTTACTGGCAGTGGCTGTTCTATTTATCAAAAACAGAAAGACATGAAAAAACACATTGGATTTGAATTTTTCTATCCCTGTTTTATCATTGGTTTAATTGTTTTAAAGTCAAAAATAACATTGAACTGCCTTGAGATGACAGTTTGCCTTGGGATGACAGTTATAGGCTCTATGACTGTAAACTGGTATATACAGGACAG